TTTTGTTAATGTTTCTAAATACAGTGCAACCTTAATATAATGTGCCTTTATATAACCACTTTCTCGATTTAACAAATTTTTCGCGATCCCCTTGAATTGTCCATAAAATTCATTATATAATATACCTTTACATTGCGAACGTTTCTTGCAAACAACCTCTTTATAACGAATTTACAACTATCAAGAAAGTGTAAATACATATAAAAAAATTGTCATCCCAAGACCTTCATATAAGTTTATTAGTAGAAGTTGTAAATAAAACTATTTTTTACCTCTTTAAAAATTTTAAACGAACCTCATCTCCTTGATATAACGAATACTTTTACTTGTTCCCTTCCGTTTTTTTATATCGAGGTTGCACTGTATTATGTTTTTAGTTATTGATTGATTAAGACTGTTAGTTAACATTAAGTACCGGTATTGCAATCATATAAGTTAAAATTATTTTAATTTAATTATTTTACTGTATTTGAGTATTTTAATGTTTTATTATATTTACTTAGAATCTTGACTTTATTGTATCCTACGTATATCTCACAAGATAACCTTTGTCTTAAGGGGAGATGTTAGAAACTGATGTATAAGTAAGTAATTGCTATTGTAAGCATTACGTAAAGTATATAAAATTGGTTTTTCGTATAACTTTAGCAGTCAAACTCTAACTCATGTTCGGTACACAACTTTCTTATAATTTACAAAAAATTAAATTAGTTTTGCTGCAGTAAAAACTGTATTTTAAAAGAACCTTATTATCCAGGAGCAAAATTACACAGGCTGATAAAAAAAAGAAGAATATATGCGTGAAAGCGTGTTGAAAAGTAGAGCATGGTTCCGGCATCACCTGAAATGTATACAACACTCCATCTACCTTTCTTTGTTGGAAAAATTGTATACTTACAGCAATGTTGTGGTCCTGCGACAATGTGTGTTGAGTATTGAGTATTGAGTATTGAGTAATTGTTGGTGTGGCTCTTAAAAAAATACTCACTAAGCACTAACTAGACCTTTCCCATCACAATCGTAGCCGACTGGCTGAATTTTACACATAACGACACGGTCATAAAGCTGTAAGTCTGAAATAAACAATAAATGCACTTTAGTACTTTTACCCGACTAATGAAGGAGAGTTACGTTTTTCAGGTATGTACATCCGAGTATGTAGGTTTGTTTTTCTATTATCATAGGACACATTTTAAGAGACTAAATACTAACAAGTATTTTCCTAATATGTATTTTGACAAAATTGTAATTTATCAGCTCTTGAGCTGTTGCAAATAACCACTGATACCAAAACGACTTCAAAATGCGATTTTTTTTTAACTATTTGACATCAAACTCATGGATCCTGTAGAGTTGAAGATATGATTATATTTATACAAAATAAATAATAAAATTGAAGTATCTGTTCTTAATGTCAAAGGAACAGCCGTTTACTAAAAGAATACGACAATACGTATGGCACATATAACAAAAAACTATTTTTAAAATGTTTGTGTGTTTGTTCTGGCTTATCTCCAAAACGGCTGGACCGATTCCAACGGAACTTTCACTAGCAGATAGCTGATGTTATAAGGGGTAGCTAGGCTACCTTTATTTAAGAAAAATAATTCGTGTTCCATGCAAAAAAACTAAAGCCTTAAACTACCTTACTTGCGGGTGAAGTCACCAGCTAGTGATATAATAAGAAATGACAATTAAGCTAAAACATTAACATGCGTATCGTGATAACGCTATCCTAGTAGTAACGCTTTGCTAACGTAATTCATTTGGCTCCAAACAAGTTTTGTGTAGTGTAGTATTTTTTTGTTATAGTATATGTGTGAAAAACGAGCACACAGTCCACCTGATGGTTAGTGGATGCCGTGGCCTATATGAAGAAACAAAATGCAGGTGCAATATCACCCCTGAGGACTAATATGGAAGGTAAAACTGATCTCCGGTTTTCTACACTTACCATACTAAACACAGCAGCATTAAGCTTTTATTTCACGCTGGTAGAGCTGTGAGAGCGTGGTTCATCCCCGGCCGAGCCGAACCAATAGTGCTGCAACCTGAATATAGTTGCAATACGGCTCTGTCACGTACAAAATGTTAATAGCATACTGTACTTACGCCCAAATAATCAAACGCTTCTCAATTTTCACACGCTGTTAAGTCTCGTACTGTCTTTATCGCTTTAAATCAAAGTGATTGTGACACTACGCGGCTTAACAACATATTAAAATTGAGTTGCGTTTAAGTATTTGGCCATCACACTGACTGCTCCATAACATACTCAAATATGTTGGAGATTATCTTATTATATACATTACAATGTACCATAAGCGGCCGCAGCAGCATCTTGCTGCACACGCAGTTTTAATGCACGCCGCACCGCACACACCACATACCACCTACCTACAACTACAAGTAGCACTCGTCATAGCGTTTGGGCAAAGCAAAAAAACTAATTAAAATAAGTATCAATACAGTATATTGTATCTTTTAATTTCATAATAACAGGGCCAGGCTATTTTTTACAATATTAGAGTCTAAAATTACACGTTTCAGTTCAGTTTCAGTGCCCTTTTGCTTTAAATTTTCAAACGTGGTATAAAATTCTTGTTCATCATCAGTCCATAAAGGTTACTGAACATGGGTATCAACACACAAAGGATTCATACCAGTTTGTTAGTGAGATAAAAGACCTACATCTCACTGACAATGAAACTATGATCAGTTTTGATGTTCAGTCACTATTCACATGCCTACCTATTGAAGACTGCATATAAATTGTAACTAGAAAGCTAGAATATAATAACATGCCTGCTGAATATGCAGTATTACTCAAACACTGCCTCACATCTGGCTATCTATTGTGGAAGGAAGAGTTCTACAAGCAAGTAGATAGTGTGGCGATGGGCTCACCTGTATCTCCCATAGTCACCGACATATTCATGGAGGACTTCGAGGAGAAAGCCCTTCTTACTGCTCCTGTAAATCCAAGATTCTACAAGCGGTACGTAGACGACACTTTCACAATTTTACCATCTGACAAAGTAACTGCATTTTTAAACCACCTTAACTCTATAAACTCTAAAATACAATTCACAATGGAGTTAGAGGCAAATAATTCTTTAGCTTTCTTAGATGTTTTAGTCATTCGAAATCCTAATAACACAATTGGTCACACTGTGTATAGGAAAAAGACCCATACCAACCGATATTTAAATGGTGAATCTCACCATCATCCTTCCCAGTTAGCTAACGTGGGTAAATCTTTGTTTCAGAGAGCACGAGGGATCTGTGACAGAAAACATCTGGCCGCCGAACTTCAGCACGTCAAGCAAGTATTGCAAGACAACAAGCTTCGGGTCCCGCGCCTACGTCACAATGACCGAGTGAAGCCGGCCACAGTCGAGCGTGTACCTGCAGTACTACCATATGTCAGAGGAGTCACAGACAAGGTTGGCTACATCTTGAAGCGAGCTTCCATTAAAACATACTACAAGCCGCCGAAGAAGATTAGTCAATTTTTACCATCCGTCAAGTGTAATATCCCTCTACAAGATGCAGGAGTGTACAAGTTAGATTGTGAATGTGGTCTCTCTTACATAGGTCAAACAAAAATATCCATAAAAACCCGCGTGAAAGAACATATAGCTGACGTGAAGCACCGACGCTCCGGGAAGTCTGCAGTCTGCGAACATGTCCAAGATCGTCCCCACCATTACATTCGATTTGATAAACCACAAATTCTCGCAAAATGACACCGATTCCTACCAAGAATGATACGCGAGGCTATTGAAATTAAAAAACATCCAAATTTCAATAGAGAAGATGGATGGGTGCTGCCACCTGCTTGGGATCCTATAATTAACAAAATTAAACCCAAACCTAAGCATACCGTTGCAAGACTTCATGATACTATAAGCTCGTTTTGCGTAAATCGGACCAAAAATTAATATTCAAAAACTGAAGGTAGCCGGACTAACTATGACATTGGGACGTCAAACATCTCAGTCCCCCCAGTGACCATGGGTGCTGTAAAGCACCCGAAACGTCGGGAATTAAAAATAAGTAAAAGTAATGAAATAAACGCGATAAAATCCGTAAATTTAGTTTTATTCAATGGGTATCTTCCATTGGAGGGTAGTTTTGTTTTAATCGCCAAGCTTGGCTGGTGGTTCGCCTATCGCAGTACCAGACGTCTTGCAGTTTTGATGCTCCTGATTCGGCAGTCTGTGTATTTTACGTCTTGATTAAATAACTTAATACCTTCCATAAGAACGAAATGGGGTGATAAATTTTCTTATAGGCCGTCGACATAACGATGTCGTGAATGTTTGAATGCTAATATGTTAAATAAATGTTATAAAAGTAATTGATTAATTATTACAAATATGTACCATACATATTGTCTCACCTTACCTGTCAACCTCATCTACCGAAAAAAGCATCAAAATTATAATGAGAACTAATACAGAAAATTGTATCTATGAAATGATAACCTTTCCATTAGGCCCTCCCTCAAAGCACGGTCCTGAGCCACATACATCCACATGCCTTCTTGCATCTCTTACCAGGTCGTTAATTAATTATATAGAAGCTGCGCTTCATTTCTTTTATCTACGACAACATAATTCAAAAGAAATTTCTAATTACCAACCATTTTGAGTATTATTTTTAGCTTCACATGTTTGTAATAACAGAAAAATAAAGAACGGAATAACAAAATATCCTGGCTTAAGAAACATAAGAACCTACTACGCTTGCTTTATTGAATAAGAAATCAATTGAAAACTAAATTAATTTCATGGTTAGTTAAACATATTAATCCACTATACAAACATAAAAAAACTAATAAAAAGGCTTAGGGCTTGTTTTTCAACCGTCAGAATAAAAGTTGCTCATCAAATAAATTTACCAAGTTATTTTATTCATTCACACATTTAGATTATGTTGCATTTTATTCTATAAATAACTTTGATCTAATTATTGAAAAATTCTCACTATCAAATTTAACGTGCATGTTCTGCCAGAGAAGCAAGACTAGCAATGGCTTGATCTATAGCTTGCCTCTCAATTTCAGGTGTTATCGCTTTTTTAACATTCTCCAGTATCCAAGTAACCATCCACTTCTGATGAATATTATTTTCAATACGATGTCGTTTTGCGTGATAATCTAAGCGACGTTTTAAACTTTTGTAAACATGCATAACTCTCTCCCTATAAGCGGCTTCTATTTGCATTGCCACGTTCTCCTTTTTTGCTTCTATTAGTAAGTTTTGCCCCTTGGCTCTAAACTGCGCATCTTTAGCTTCTTTTATTATAGTTTCAAAATGCGCTTCTTCTTCTTTTCTTCTGGATTTAAAGCTTTCTTCTACTGCATCCACATCCTTGTCCAAACTAGCGGCTAATATTGGACCAAATTTAGTAGTGCCATAGTAAGTTATGACAAATACTGATAATCCGATGTAATAATCATGGTCCATCACAAAAATTTCTTTGCTTAACAAGTAGTTTCCAAGCATTATACCAAAAAGATAAGGCCCTGTGACCCCGGTCTTAGGATAAAAGAAGACAAAATATTCCTCAGGAATAAAACCCAAACGTACTTTACCAGACTTAATTGCACGCTTAAGTTTGCTTGGTTCATTGTTAGATGTACGCGATCCGCATGGCATCGACTTTTTCTTATTTTCTGGACATGTTTCTGTATGGATGGTACAAAAGACTTTTGGAATCAAATAGTGTGACCTGTTATACAACCTTATAACGCCCTGAATAAACATAGTTATCTAAAGTAAATCTCACCATAACTATTTGACATGCCTCAATATTATGTCATGATGACGTAAACAACATTTATTTTTAAAATATCACTAGGCTCAGGCTCATTTAGCGCTTTTTTCCTTTCTTCACTAGTCAAAGATTTTTCCGCATTGATTTAAAAACCTACATACATAATCTGTATTTTATTCTGATTTTTTTCTTTATGGTCTTTTAATAAAATGCTTCGTAATGTAGTAATAAATAAAGCTGCGTATCGATTTTGTGCTCCAAAAGGTCGATCATTGGTGCGCGTTCCTGCCGCGTGAAATGGATATATACTTGGAACCTGCGCCAAATTATTCACTGGAACGCTCTAACGTGAAACGTGCCGTTCCATCAGATGTCAGTTTTTTTACTGCGTATACAAGTAGCTGAGTTTAGGCGCGGGCACCGGTTGGGACGATTGTTTTTCGTGTTTTCGTTGCGCTCCGAGCTATAGGTAACCAAAGTTGCCGTAAATTGATAATATGGTTTAAAAGAACTGCTATGGAATAGCGAAAGCCGTTTTTATCATAATAAAGCGCTCTTCGTATGTTCGTTGCGTTCCGAGCTTATAAGTAACCAAAGTTGCCGTAAATTGATAAATTTATATGGTTCAAAAAACTGCTATGGAATAGCGGAAGCCGTTTTTATCATAATAAAGCGCTCTTATAAAATGCATGGAGAGAACTATAAAAGCATCAGCTGCTCGTACACCATCGACATTTTTTATAGAATAAGGCTGATCAACGAGCACGCAATCTACCTGAGTAAGTGAATGCTGTGGCCCATAGAAATATACATCTATCCTCGATTAAGAATCAAAGTGCAGATGCGTTGCCACCCCTGAAGACCAAGATGTAATACCTCGTTTCCAGCAAAAAGGGTCTCCGGTTCTCTACACTCACCATATGAAACACAGCATTGAGCTGTTATTTTACGCTGGTATTACGTGAGATCGTGGTACTCCCCGGTTGGGCCGACCCATTCGTGCTACAACCATAATATAGCTGCACCATGCCTCTGCCACTATTTTAAAATCACATCCATGTTGAACGGTCAAACATTGGAACACCTGCAGCGCGCTCGCCGCGCGGTTCTTTGATGTACATCGAAAACTTGGAACGCGTTCCGCGGAACGCACCAGTGCGGTGCGGCGTGATTCATGGTGGGCGCGCCAGTAACGCTTCATGGTTTCTGTCCCTATGCCACTTTTGACTGTCACGTCACACACATTTGTCACTAAGACGAACCTAACGACACGCCATATGTTAAATAGCCCATCCATTAAGCCGTTAAGGCTACAGAGCGTTCCAAAGAAATAAACATACAAACTGCTTTCGAAAAATATTACCTTCCTTCTGGGGCTGTCGGGTAAAAAGGATCCCTAAACTATATGTAGTAGAGGATTGCTGCTGCTATATCATGGTTATAGCACGATCGGGTCGGCTCTACCAGAGACATCTCTTACAAAATACCACCATAAGGGCATTACACTGACGATCTACAAACAAGTTCGAAGCGACCTCTTGGCGTGTTCATCGCAAAGGTACCGCGCCACAGAATAGTAAAGAATAGACGGTGCGAGTAGCGCCATCGACGCCATTTTTTATGCTCCCATTCAACATCCTGCCCCACCCCACTTCACTCTATCAATGAGACGATTGTGAGCAGTTTCCTTGTCAAAATTCATTCTGTTACCCATATCCATTGTATCAACGACGTTTGAACTTCTCAACGATGCTACGTCCGTCAAACTCGTTTTTTAATATGACTGAAGTGGAGCGGGGCGAACTGTTGAACGAGAGCTAACAAAATACAGTGGATGGCGCTATTCATGTATTTTGTTAGCTCCCGTTCAACAGTCCGCCCTACGTTCTATTATTTATTCTGTGTCGCGGTGACTTCCAATCACCAGTGTGATAAGTCCCTATAATAGCAGCTTAATGCTAATGGTACGACAAGTGTAGATAACCGAAAACCCTTTGAATAGGAAAAGAGGCATTCCATCTTATTCCTCAGGGTTGACAACGTATCTGCTTTTTGATTCTTAATCGAGGATAGATGTACCTAGGTACAGCCAATTCACCAAGCACCAGGTTTTCCCAACTATATAAAAAGTATGGTGCGTTAATAAATGTACATGTTATCTCTCTAGCCAAATTTAAGGTCACAGTAAACAATACATTATTTACGTAACTAGGTTTAAGTCATTGTTTTATACGGATTATATATTATTATTTGCTTGTTTCCTCAGTTTTTATATTTTATACATTTATAAATAGTAGGTAACTGATGTTTATGGGCATCAGGCATCAGTTAGTGTGTGCCACAGATTATCTGTGGTGTGTGCTCATTTGTCAATCTTATTCTACTGTCGTCAACGCTACGACTATCTCACGAGGTCATGTGGTTCTGGGTTTCAAATCTCGGTCGGATTGGGCCAAAATAAGTTATTGCGTTTGTCTGTCAAGAAATTCTCACTAGCATCCCGGATTAAAGAAGTTGGCGGCGTTTCAACCCCATGCCTCGGTAAGGACGTAGGATTTGCTCTGAGCCTCATCTCTCTCTCTGGTCGTATTGGATTACCGTCCCATCGGACTATGAGAGCGAGGGAATAGAGAATGCACCTATGCTTGCACACACACCCGTGCACTAGGCATAATCCTGTTCTGCGTAGTAGGCTGGACTCCGTTTGAGACTGTCCGTCCTTACCATGACTTAGTCTGGAGGACATTATTATAAACGTCTGTTTTTGAAATTTGGAATATATAAATCACAATTATTTTTCTGTTAATTGTAAATTAATACTCAATACACCTATGTAGGGTACCTGGAGCCTTGTTCCCAGCAGCGGGGAGTATGTAGGCTGTACCTTTACATTACTTTACACCTGGAGCCACTGACACTGGTACAACTGCGTAAGTACATAAGTTTACACAAGTCTAACATAACCCGTCCTTGCCCCCCCCCCCCCCCCTCCCACGATGCGGATATGTACGCCAATTATTATTTCCTCAGAAAACTCTTTATCTTGACAGAGGAACTTCGTAGTTGTAGAATGATCACCTACATAGATCCCATAATAACCCACATGACTTCACCAGTCTGCCCAAAGAGCTCGCACGGCCTGTGCCTGGCACGTCCACTCAGGATGTGATTTGGTGGACGACAAAGAAAGGAGTTTAAGTTACTTCTGTTAAAAATAAAACAACAGTTTATTTATAGTGTATGGGCTGTATTAAAATAATTATGTGACTACTACTTGTACATACATAACTAAATATTGTGTAATTATACATTTTGAATATCAATGAAATAACTATATTACCTATCTCTAATGAAGACCTTTTCCTAAAGGTAATATTATAGAAATACTTTATACTGTGTTATTAAAAAATCATATATACAATAGAATCATATAATATATACAATACAATTTAAGATTTTTTACAATTATGTGTTTTGTCATAATCAGTAACTTATACAGCCGTTTATAAACGTAAGTCAAGCGGCAGATATAATAACCGCAGAAAACGAACTTATACTATGAATGTTTAATAAAGTTCCGAAACCTGGATCGGACAAATACAAAGAAGAGCTTAAAGGCGGTATTTAGCGGCACGAAGAATTGGATATTTGTCGCCAGTACAAAGACCACGGAAATCGTCCATAGAGAGGTCAACGATGGATATTCCTCCTAAATTCTTAGACCTGTAAATAAAAACGTAATTGAATTAAACGCGCGAATACGTTTAAACACAAGATTAATAATAATGATTAGTAGTAATGTTAAACTAGTTTTATATTTAACGTTTTGATGTAAATTATTATTATTTTAGGTTACATAATCGTAAGACTACGTAACAAGTGACTAATTGAGACACAACCATTAATATTCTGTCACATGCAAGGAGACGATTGATGCAAGTGGTTCAGGACCGCAATTTGGGGCAATTCAATTGAAAAAATAGAGGAGGTCTATGTACATTCAGCAGTGGATAGTAGAGATTTTTTATACTGATGCTGTTGATTATGATGATAACACTGTACCAGCCGGTGGGCTCATTGGTTGCAGCAATGTCTTAGCATAAAGAAAAAGGTAGAAGAAGCTATCACCTCTAGAAACGGTCTTGTGGTTAAACGATATTTAGAGTTACAAGACCCAATCTAGAGGGATAACTTTTCCCCTTTTACCAACTTCAATCATCAAACAATCTGTTTTCCCTGTTATTTATGGCATCGGCGTTTATACAGTACTTTGTTATGTATGTGTAGTACGCGTTACGGCAAGTTTGTTGAAAAAATAGTGGCATCTTAAGAAAAACTATCTTATATTATTAATATATGATAATATTAGAGGCGACAGAAGGAAATTAATCAACACATGGGCGGTAGTACCATCTTAACAAAAACTCAACATAATACAAGTGCGCAGTGAAAACCTTCAAGCGCGGTGATGGTCATAGCATGTAACGTTTAAATAAGTAACGCCATCTGATATTTGTTTGTAAATAAAAATCCCGATATTTTGTTGATCTTCGAGCTTTTTAAGCGATGAGATAGTTTTATTAAAATGTTACTCCTTTGTGATTCAAGAACAACAATTTATCTTTTATACACAGTTTTTCGTTGACTACACTATAAAATAAAATCTTTTATGAACGCATTTACAGCTTCATGAGTCGCTTTTTTAATTAAAAAAGGAACTTTGTAAGAT